AAACGGAGAAGCTAACGGTAGCGGCGGTTAGCCAACAGGCAGGCAACTCATGCTGCATTCACGTCCTGCTCGGACATCCCAATGGTCCCAGCTGGAAACGCATGCCTGCACCTCGCAGGACAATGTAAGAATATGACAGACACACTTTGTATGCTGCTGAATTTTCCACCCACCCTTTAAAATCCTCTGCAGACACGAAAGAGCCAAACACTGGTCACAGGCCATATTAACGCAGGTAATGAAAATGCATATTTTAGTGTTCATATGTCTTTTGTATTGTCTTATCTGGACCGTGAGTCTGTATTTAATTAATACGAATTTAAGATACGTTTTTTTATGACAGATCTGTCCCCAGAAACAAGACTACCCGTTTTGAAACAGTTCTGCAAGGTGCATTTAATTACCGTTGTTCTGTGCCCAAGAGCTGTAAGTACTCATTAAGATAACATGACATTTGTAACATATATATACAGCTGCAGTCATTGTCAGCAACTAATACTGACAGCCTCTTCCCATGCTTTCAACAGTTAAAGTTGTGATTCCGACATAATTTCTGAAAAACACATTTTTCCGATTATTTTGGGAGAACTTGAACGCACGGTTAGCTGCCTGAATAGCTTAACTAGCTCAGCGATGTGGAGGCTACTCACACTAAACTGAACCGTTACCGACTGATAACCGGCACAAGTGGCGGAAACTTGACTGTTATTACCGTCAAAGATGTGGTATTAACTGAAAACGTTATTAATCACTGGCTAAACACGATCACCGGCTCATTTGTGACAGTTTTAGTCAGAGGCAGTGGGACGTTTCCCCCGCCCTGAACCGGAGCGAGCAGCCCGCTAGCTGCTGTTAGCTGCTGTTAGCTGCAGTTAGCTGCAGTTAGCTGCTGCTAGCTGCTGTTAGCTGCAGTTAGCTGCTGCTAGCTGCTGTTAGCTGCAGTTAGCTGCTGCTAGCTGCTGCTAGCTGCTGTTAGCTGCTGCTAGCTGCTGTTAGCTGCTGCTAGCTGCTGTTAGCTGCTAGCTGCTAGCTGCTGTTAGCTTCAGACAAACGAGACAAACTTCCAGACACGAGGAGTTTGAAACGTCACTTAAACTGATTTAAACTCTCAAGTGGGACAAACAGTTAACGACTCCGAGGTGGGCTTAACTCGGATGCAAACGGCCACATCCCGGTGATGTTCCTGCTAATCAGCAGCTAGCCACAGCGGGGCTAACAGAGGCTCGCCGTTTTACACGCCGGTAAATACCGTTAAATGTCTCCGTGTGCAGGAGCCGGTCACCGTACCTGGAGTTGATTTGCCTTCACGGTGGGTTTATTTATGTCGGCTGTGACTCTGAGTTATAAAAAAAGACCTCTCGTTATTCGCCACTTCTGCTTTTCTTCCCTTCGTCTTGGCACTTCACGTTCACTCTACCGGCAGCGGAAGAACCGTTTTGATGACGTAACGGTTAACGCCTAGACGTAACGACAGCGTGATGAGCGTAACTATGGATACTATTACCAACCAACTGCATTTAAGCGAACGACCCCTTGCGGCTAATTATGAGTGACAAAAAAAATGACTAAAGTATAAATAAATAAATGTTGGGAGAAATGCATACAATGTGTAAATAAATGAATAATTAAATAAATGCATACAATAATGTGTAAATAAATGAATAATTAAATAAATGCATACAATAATGTGTAAATAAATGAATAATTAAATAAATGCATACAATAATGTATAAATAAATAAATAATTAAATAAATGCATACAATAATGTATAAATAAATAAATAATTAAATAAATGCATACAATAATGTATAAATAATTAAATAAATGCATACAATAATGTATATATAAATGCTGGAAACAATACATCAATGAATAAATAATAAATACACTTTGTTAATGAAAAAGGCTATTTATATATTTTTACATGTATTTATTCATTTATTAGTGTATTTCTATAGTTATATATGTATCAATGCATACATTTCCACATTAATTGAGTGATTAATTTATTTCCAAAAATTGACCAATCCTACTTCATTAATTTTAGGACGGCCCACTTAATTTACATATTTACTTTTCCTTGTACAACATGGACACAAAAATACATAAAATTTTTACATGAATTGTTGCATTTATTTATATATATATTTATTTATGTATTTATATATTTACTGATGCATTTAATTAATTATTTATTTATTTATACATTATTGTATGCATTTCTCCCAACATTTATTTATTTATACTTCAGTCATTTTTTGTCCCTCATACTAATAGGATTACTTTACGGTAAATAGAAAGTGTTGATCCTATCACTAAACCTATTTGTTAATTTATTACGTATTTAAACATCTATTTTTAAAGGTGCTTTATAAATTAAGTTATTTTTATTTAACTATTATTGAATAAAATCTGATTACAAAAATACTTTATGAAAGGTGTATCAGGAGAGGTCAAGAACCAAACTGGCTTAAACAAGGGAAATTAATGAAAATGAAAATAAAATGAATAATAAATAATAATAATAATAATAAAATAATTTAATTTAATTTAATTAATTCATTATTATTATTATTATTATTATTATTAATAATTTATTACTAAATTAAATTCATTTAATAATAAATAATTTATATAATGAAAATCAATATAGATTGCCATATTTACATGAATACAAATATCTTGAATGGTACAGAGAATAAAACTACAGATGTCAACTTTTAAAAATGCTGCCAATAAGTCTCCAAAATGGTCTACTGACCAAAACTCTGCGTTAAAAAAGAAAAGCGGATATAATTGTGTCCTTAAAAGAACGTTTGTTAGAGAAAAACCTCGGCATGTAGGAATTTCAAATATCAGAGAATAAACGAGTCGATTGATCAAGATATTCTTCTTTTATTCATCCTAAGTGACAATCACTCGGCCGATGAAGTTACTCAGACAAACATCTGAACAGTCTATGTTCAAATATTTATACATGTAAAAAATACTAAGTGTCCCTCTTTAAGATACAGTACAGATGATACGGACCCCTCCATGGTTACAGACTGAACTCTGTCATTCTGTTCCCCTCGAGTCGATGTGCAAAAACACTGTACACGTCAGCCACACTTAAAAAAAACCTCAAAATAAAACACAAATGAGGGAAACAATCGTCAAGTCGGTACAAAACACCTGTACTCCGTTATATTCTCACACATTATATTTAGTCAATTACCTCAGAGGTCATGCATTATTCCTCAACAACACTTTATAAAAAACATTTCACTCAGGATTTAGTCGTCATTAATGCCAACGTCGACTTCAGTCAACGTTGGCATTGTCAGATTTTAAATTCCCTTGACAATTAAGTTGAGTATCAAACACTTGAAGAACAATATGTTAACGGGATCTTCCACGTCACAGAGATTCTTAACGATCCGCTTCAGGACACAAGAAATGACTCGGTTTTTGATCGATGAACACGTTAAAAGTCACATATTCTCCTCCTCTTTAAATAAGTCCACAAAACATGTCTACAAACATGATTAAATATCCGTTAAGCAGTGACAGCATTCGATTCAACATGATTCACACTCACTTATATTAAAAACTGTGTCCTATAAAAGTCTTTTTTATTATTATTTGTTTCTATGTACTCCGTAGTAGATGTGTAAAAATGTAAAATATTTACTAAAAAAAACTTACTTCTGAAAGCAGGTGATTTGATGTTACAGCAGAATTCACTTTTAAGTAGTGATCACACTCTTTCCTGAGTAAAATGTTCTTTACCATTCATCATTATTTGATACTGTAAATATATTCAATAACTCGTAGCGCTGATATAAAGGCAAAATCTGTCATGATAATGTCACACACACACACACACACACACACACACACACACACACACACACACACACACACACACACACACACACACACACACACACACACACACACACACACACACACACACACACACACACACACACACACACACACACACACACACACACACACACACACACACACACACACACACACACACACACACCACACACACACACACACACACACACACACACACACACACACACACACACACGTCTCCATCATCTCAGCTGCTGCAGTTCTGGAGAGGCAGGAGAGGATGGGGAGGGGGAGGGGGAGGGGGGGAGTTGGAGGATGTGGTTATGGGAGGCAGCTCCTTACAGGAAAAATAGTCCTTCAAAGGAGCGAAGAGGTGACGGATGACGGGCACGCTCCACGCCTTCCCCAGCACCTTCTGCCTCTGCAGTCGGTTCATGTCCCGAACATCGGTGTAATGTTTTGGAAAACCAAAGATTCTGGGGATCGACAAGGGAGGAAGATCAGTGTTAGCAGAATTAATGTCATGTAGAGAAATGCTACACAATAAAAACATAAATAAAAAATAACAGGTAAAAAAAAAAAAGTGTCAAGCTGTACAACTAGAACTCTAAAACGACCTTATTCTGTACATCCTCTTTGCACGCCAGCAATCACAGTTTCATCACACACACACACTTTAAGGTAAGTATTAAGAGGCCTACTTCTCGAGCTCTGTGATCCAGAGGTTGTCCTCCCGGCCGTTATAGAGGACGGGCAGCAGAGAGACGTCTTTGCCCTGCTTCAGAGAGTTTCTGTTGGTGGTGATCGTCCTCACCTTCGTGACCTGAGAGAAAAACAACATTTATACTTCAGTGAAGATGTTAAGCATCATTTGTTTGGAGAGAAACTAAACAGTAAGAACACATCAAAAAGAAGAAGAGACTGCAGCAGGTTAAAGTCACTGACCCGAGCCTCTCTGCCGATCTCCAGACAGTCCTGCAGAGTCAGCTTGTCACTTTGGGACGCTATGATTGGCCTGCAAAAAAAACAAAGCATGCAAACTTTATTGATATGAAAACAAACATATAAAATATAAAGAAACACAAAAGAGGGGAGACAACACATGAAAGAAAGAAGAAAGCGTTCAAATTCTAAATTGGGGGGGGGGGCTGAGGAAAAAATACTTGGGATCTGGCAGGAGAAACTTTGGGTCAAGTCAGAGGGAAAATTCTGTTTGCATTCATACACGCAGTCCCTCCTGGAAATATCAGGAGCTTTCTGAGAGTGTGAAAGCTCTATAAGAGGGTTAACCAATCATCCTGCAGCTAAGAAGCCACAGGACCGATTCGGATCCAGACCACCGGCTTGGGGGACTATAGCCTCTGTACATGGGCGTCTCATCATTCCATTTTTTTAAGAGGGCGAATAAAGTGTCTGTTAAGGTTTCTACTTACCGGTACTCACTTAAACTTCGATATATCAGAGGTGAGATTCTCTGGCCGAGCCCGGTCCAAAGCCGGGTCGGGCCATGTCTTTACAAATCTGCTGTTTTCCTTTATAATATAAGCTTCTCTGTTGCAATCCTTAAGATCTTATTTCAGATTTCAGCCATTTAATTACGACAGCCGACTTATTAAAGTCTGGATTCTTTTGGGCCCGATCTGAGCTTGACAAATCTTTAAACACTTATTTAACAACTTTTATTCTTCATTAGTTCTCACCTGCTCATCCCGGGGATGTTCCCCCAGAAGCAACGCGATCTGTGTGCAGGGCTGACATTGACTGCATCCACCAGCACCGGGTTAGACTGTTGAAGGATCAGATATGAACAACAGTCAGCTTGCTGTGTTACGCACTTTAAGAACAGGTTGAGGAAAAAACAGCAGAACTAAGAGAGAAGGACGAGGCAGGAAGAAAACCAGTGAGGTAGAGTCAAAGAGGAGAAACAGAGGCGGAGAAGAAGAAGAGTTCAGGCATTAAAGCTGCTGCTGAGATCCAGTAAAAGGTTCAGACCTCGAGGAAGCGGCAGATGTTGACTTTGTCGTGGGTGTTCATAAATACAACATTTTCAAATAGCCAGAAGAACGGCCTGGGGTCTTCCTCTTTGGGCTTCAGCAGCTGGAGGATTCGGTAGAACTCAAAGAACAGTCTGCCGGTGCCCTCTGCAGGAGAGAAAAGGGAATTACAGCAGAGCAGAAAAAAGGTGCATGCTCTCTGAAGATGATGACTTTCAAACACAGCCAACTTTCTAGATGAGAAAACTAGTATTAAAAGTGCATCTTATACAACAGATTTTACAGTAATGTAAACTTTAATTTATGCTGTATTTATCTGTTAAGATTTTCATTTTTTCATTTTTAAATAGGAGAAAGAAAAATTTTGCATCGTCAGATTTTCCCCCAAAATCATTCAGCCCTCGGTGAAAGCTGCGTCTGTCTACATGTAATGACACTCCTTTTAACTCTCTGATAATTTCTCTAAAGCAAACATTTGATGACGTCAGATTCATACCGTAAAGTCCTTTTCTGTACGGGTTGACGATGGAGAGGTCGTTGCAGGGGCTGCCACCGATCAGCAGGTCGAAAGGGCCCCACTTCTCGAGCTGGATCCATAAAACAGAACAAATTGAGCCGAGCGTCATGTCAGTGACTTCAGTCTTTCTGTGCTGCATCTTCAAACATTAACGTTGTTCACTGTCTGTACAGAAGAGAAGTAAGCAGCGTGCGTGAACATACGTGTTTCTCGCTGATGAAGCGGGCGTCTCCCACCTGGACGATCTTCCTGTCATGGTTGACCTCGGCCACTGCTAATGAGTCCTCGCAGATCTCTGAGGCGACATACTTCTCTACTTGGAAGCCGAGCTCTTGCAGCACAAAGTAGCCTAGTAGAAGTGACCACAGACACGTTCACATAATGCAGGACCTCAGATAAAGGTTTCATATTTTATTTATTTGTAAGAGAGCAGAAAAAGTCTCCCATCCTTTCGTCGACGTTTCAAAATTCAGGACTCGCAAAGAAAGGAGGATGGATACTCAGAGCTTCTAACCGCCAATTTCCACAGACACATTTTTTTAACAATGACAGAAAAATCTGAAGGCTGTCTGTCATTTTGACGGATTAGTATCACCAGGTGTCCACCACTCCTTCCTAACTCTCTCACAGCGCTGTCATTAACCACATGTAAAGCACCTGCAGTAGACCTCCCAGTCCAGTTGGGGGCGAGTGTGCATAATTAGTTAGTAATTGTTTTCTTCTGTAGGCTTTCTGACCTCACATGCAAGACATCGTTGTCTAGCCAGTGTTGCAAGGAGGGCGACTTTCTCGCTAAATCTGGCGCCTTTTTATGTGAAAAGCTACTAGCGACATATCTAGTGACTTTTTCTGGTGTTTTGGAGACTCTAAACACCATCTAACGTGAAAGCACATATCGCTCTGCAGTTACTGTCCTCAACGAGCAGCGGGTGCTGCCGTGAGCCCCTCCCCGTCCCAAAGCACTCACAGTAGCCTCGCGCTGCAGTCACAGCAGAGAGGAGTCTAACGGCTGGTTGCTTTCATAGCATGGATATAGCTGGTGTGTTTCGGCACGGTACAGTTTATGCACGAGCACAAGCACACGGGTACACAATGTTGACAGCCTTCATTCAGGAGAAATCCCAGAGTAATACGGACTTTTCATGAGAAATACATATGTATGTATGTAAAGTGCATTGCAGTTTGCTAATCAGTCATCACTTTTTTAGCCATCTGATGCATATTTTTTTCCCCCATCGCGGAGGGCCCTTACGTGCTCAGGGGCCCCTGGGTACGTGCCCGGAATACCCGTATGGTGGATCCGGGGTTGAGTATGTGGACATTGGCAGTAAGAGGCTCCAGAAGCTTGAAAACCAACCCAAAAACTACAAGTCTCTTTTATGTTTTTGTTTAGTAACAGAAAAGTTCAAATTTTGGCCAGGCCTTGCTCGAAAAAGAGGCCATTTGATCTCAAGCAATTCTTGCCTGGTAAGATAAAAGTTAAATAAAAATAAATAAATAAATAAAAAAAACTAGGGATTTAAAATAAAAAAGCACTCACCTGTTGCTATGCCATCGAACAGCGACAGAACTCGAATCGGTCTGCGACAGTCGGCGGGGATAGACGGGTAAACGCGGTGAGGCTCCTGCAAAAACAAAAGTCAGAACAAAGAGTTTTACTGTCGTAGCCTCCACACATGAGTCAGAATCAGAAATACTTTATTAATCCCAGGGGGAAATTTGTTTGCTACAGTTGCTCATAACACCAAAAATCAGTATGGGGGGCCCGACAGAACCGCTAGGCCACCCGGCGCCCGTAGAGAAGCCATTAATAAAAAAAGAAAATATCTGGCAGGTTAATTTAAAGAGGGAAAATGACGTCACAGCTCTAAAAGAAAAAAGTAATTTAACCCTTCTTCTACTGCTTAGATGCAAAGTATGTTTTAATAATCATTTTCTTCAGATGCAGCCGCACGTTAAATGTGTTCCATACTTGGAAATATTTTCAGGTTTGGTAAATATGAGGATCTGTTGGGACACTCACAAATGCCATGGCGCTGTTGTTGGCGAATAACTCCTGCACACGGATGCTCCAGTCCTCTCGGGGGATCAGAGCACCGTGGGGTTTGCGAGGCAGACACAGGTAACAGATCCACGGGTCCTTTTCCTTCAGCTCATCGAACGTCCCGGGGCCGACGAGGATGTTCAGACAGTCGGTGCAGTAAGACCTGTGAAGAAGAGGAGGAGCGACGATGAGAGGAAGGGGAAACCTCGGCTGACTGAATGGAGATGAATCAGGTGAAGACACACTGACCTGCTGCAGCTGTTGTTACCACACAGAATGACCTCCAGTCCATAGCAGCAGATGGTGCAGTACGACTGATACCCGTCTTCATCATAGCGGTGAAGAGTCTCTGTTAAGTTATTCTGCAGGAACACGGACAGCGGTTAGAGACTCGTACAGCACGTTTGCTGCTGCTGGTTGTTAAAATAAAGAGAAGTGGATGATCTCTTACTTTACACTTGGAGCACAGGCTGCCTTGGAACAGAGGATGGGATATCTCCACGTCTTTAGTGGTGCAACACAAACAAAAGCCTGCAGACACGACGACACAGACAGACGCTTATTTATATGTGGAATCAAAAGATGGGAGTTATTTTTAATAATCACAGGTAGAGAGGAACGAAAGGATTTAGAAATGAGAGTGACCTTCGATGTCCTGGTTCAATTTCATGATTTCCCGTATGGTCGACTCTGCAAGAAAGAAAAAACAGAAACACGGCCGGTCGATTTAGAAGTTCTGCTTGCTAATATTTGTCACAGCTTTATTTTTGACGTCAACATCCACACATGACTTCAATAGAACATGTTGCATTGCACAAAAGTTACAGGGGCATAAATATCACGGCTTAATAATAGAGCGCCACAGGAAGGAGTCCTAAAACCAGGAAGTAAGTTAGCATCTGAGCGCCATGGAGTTAACGTCTAAAAGTCAACGGGGATTTTGAATGTGTTTGTGGTTAGACTCCTGAAATAAGGTCTGTGGTTAACACAAGCTGAAGAGATGTTGGTGTTTTGTTAGAGCACATAAACTACGTTAGGTAATACCTCCACTTGTGAAGTTTGAAGTTTTTACTCGTCTTTAAAAAGGCGGTTGCTAACAAGCGGCTAAATGTGACTACAGTGGTTGTCAGGGACATTAAAGGTCATCACGCCGGACACAGAGGGCGGGAACTCTCTCACTAGTCGGAGATGTCTCCTGTAGGTTTAATCTTTAGGTTAAGGTGAATATTATGTTAGTAAACTATTTATTAAGCTACGTGGATTAGTTTATCGGAGATCGTCTGAAGCATAACGCTAGTGACGTCACAATCATCCCACCATGGTGTAGTTAGCTTGTAGCATAACGTTAGCTTTTTACTTCTGTCGGCCGCATTAACGCTTCAAACATCATAAAGATGACGTTCATCTGTGAAGATGATCCTGCTGAACAAAACGCCTACGCTTCAGAAACGTGAGTTTACCACAGAGATTATTTTCTGCAATGATCCAAAATCCAATGAAAACATCCCAGAGGAGGATTCTGTTTAGACGCCATGGTGACGCTACTTCCGGGTTGGCCTACAAAAATAGTTCATATGGTTTGTTCTCCATTCATAATTCAAAGCTGTACCTCTGAACTTCTGGTCCGGCTGTGTGTAGACGCTGGTCGTTCGGTCCACCTTGTTGCACGTTTTGGTGAGCGTCCTCTTCTTGCTCGGCACAAAGTCCGGTGACATGTCGGTATCTAATCCATCCAACAGGCTGATTTTCTTCTGTTGGACTTTCCCTCCTCGTCCCCAGCCGCCCCGTTGCGCTGATAATTCTCCTCTGGATTTCTTCTTCTTCTTCAGGACTCCTTTAGCGTCCTGTCCTGCAGAATCTAATTCTTCTTCCCCCGCAGTTTTACTCCCTCCGCCGGCTCGTTTGTGGGCGGACGAGGAGGATTTGTTTTTGTCTTTTTTGAGTTCTGGGGTGTTGCCGCTCTTGCTGCTCATCGAGGAGGACGACGACTTGACCGAGTTATCAGAAGCGCTCGCTTTCAGGAAGAGCTTCTTCTTCACCTTTGGTTTGTGGTTCATCTTTTTAGTTTCACCTAAACGGGAACACAACATCCAAGTGACCATCAGATATTTAAAAAAAACAGCCAAGAAGAGTCAACTCAAAATCAATCAATGATTACCTAGCATAGTCGTGACATCATCATCTTTACACATTCCTCTCAGCGTCTAAACATCCTTCTAACCTCGATTACCTGAAGCAAAGATCTGATTTAAACTTACCGTGTCTTTGTGGGAAGACTACAGAGGGACTAAAGTGAAACAGAGAGTTTCCATTGACTCAAAACCTCCATTTCCTTTTATATCCTGCTGCGTTCTCACATAAGCTCAGTCAGACTTTCTGCAGAATAAATACGAGGAGGCTGGAGGAGAAACTCTGGATAAAGTCTGAGAGAAACATTCAGCCGTTTGTGTATTCTAAAAATGTGAAAGCTCTACGATTAGTAACTTTATAATGCCTTCTTAAAGATGTGTAAAAAGATGTTAAATCGCTCTTCTGTGATTAACTGCACGTCAGGGGTATAACTATACAAAATAATATTTTGTCTGACAGCATCAACGCTCTTAAATCAGATGTTCTCACCGTTTGTGGCACCAGCTGGTTTGAATCCGTCCGGCCCCGCAGGAAGAAATCCTCCAAAGGCCCAGTCCATCATGTGTTTGAGCTGCTCGTCTTTGTCCGCGACATCAACAGAGAAACGTTTCTTACAACGCAGAGCTGCCTCCTTTAACACACAAACACACAGAGAGACAATGCATCACACAGAACTTTCTAAAGAGGAGCCGATTTGATCCTGGATATATTTAGTATAAAAATTTAATTAAAAGTGATAAAAGGGATTCAAGATGAAGAACGCTACTCCTTGTTGGTGCACAGAGGTTAAAATCACACGTGTGATCCTGGTAGGTAAAATGAAAACTAAGTCAGAAAACGCAGAGACAGACGCACTGACCTGCAGCGACATGAAGATGGCCTCTCTGTAGGTGATGAAGACGGCAAAGGAGTTGGAGCAGAAGTGCTTAGCGAAGGCACCGAATGGTTTCAGATCCTTTACACTGACCTGGAATCAGAGCAGAGAACGCAAATCAATTACAAACACAGGACTTTGAATTTGATTTTATTCAAAGTGGGTGTCAAATGCCTAACTCAACAACATCTAACACAGTCGTCGATGTTGTAATTGTGCGCTGGGGCTTTGTTAACGTCCTGGTGCTCATTGATCTGACTCACCTGAGTGGACATACTCTGTCCGTACCACCACACCATCCTCTTCCCTGGAGGTTGAATCTCCTCGGAGGCTACGATGATGGCGGGCCAGGTGGAGAAACCGTTCACCAAACCCCACACCAGAATTCCCTAAACAAAACAAACACAAGAAGTTACACCGCGACTACCGACCGTTTCTGAGTGTAGTGTCACACAGCAAGTTAAAAAAACACATTTAGAGGAGATGACATTTGAAGGTTATAAACATCGACTGAGTGGCGACCCCCGTCTGTTCCTGCAGGGGGCGCTGGAGTTCCATCGATGGCGGTCTCCATGCTGGAAATGCTGTCTCAGTCTAACTTTCAGTCAACCTAACAACAGGCTGAGAGCTGGAGCTGAGGCGGGTTTTAAACCTCCTGAAAAAGCGGTACACCGCGCCCTGCTGTATGTACGTCTTCCTTCCTGTTCTTAAAATGTTTGTTTATAAATTAGCGTCACAGTTTCCCCAAAACAGTCTGTTTTTTTGGGGAACTCTGATATAAAATTAGGAGAATGTTCTAAGAACTTTCAAGGACATTTTGCTTTTTCTGTCATCATCCATCTGTCTTCCATGACTGGAAATTGTTCATCTGTTTTCTAACTAACCACTAGACTACTGCCCTATTTTAACCTGTTTTTTTTGTTTAATGTATTTCTTTATATGCTCTCTTCTTACTGATGTATGTCTGATGGTGTTTTATAAAATAACCGCCTTACATTTCTGTAGTACCTTCTCGTCTGTGATTAGTACTACCTGAACACTTACCACATATTTTGCTGGATCAGAGGAGTTGATTTTGGAAACCACGTTGTCGTCGTCTTCCTCGCTCACGATGTAAACCGTCTCGGCCACTGGAGTCCTCTGACCTGCAGAGACAATCAGCTGTTTAATCTGCTGCTCTTTAAACTCGGATTATTTCAGGTTCTCCGAACATCACAACTCAAACATTTTCATGCTGCTGTTAAAGTATTTACAGATTCAATTCAGCCACCAGACATTTTGATATTGAATGTAAAGGGTTAATAACGTGGAGACAGCTGACCTCTTTTTGAATTTCATGTACAATAAATGCAAATATCGTTTGTCATTATTATTTATTTTTTTTAAAGATTTATTTTGGGCTTTTCGTGCCTTTAATGCAGAGAGAGGACAGTGGATAGAGTCAGAAACCAGAGAGAGAGAGGACAGTGGATAGAGTCTGAAACCAGAGAGAGAGAGGACAGTGGATAGAGTCTGAAGCCAGGGAGAGAGAGGACAGTGGATAGAGTCAGAAACCAGAGAGAGAGAGGACAGTGGATAGAGTCAGAAACCAGAGAGAGAGAGGACAGTGGATAGAGTCTGAAACCAGAGAGAGAGAGGACAGTGGATAGAGTCAGAAACCAGGGAGAGAGAGCGGGGAATGACATGTGGAAAGGGGCCAAGGGTGGAAGTGAACCCGGGCCTACCGCTCGAGACGAGAGTCTCAATACATGGGACGCGCGCCCTAACCATTGGGCCACCAGAGCGCCCCCGTTTGTCATTATTTTCCAAAATTATAAACAATACTTCACATTTCTTACTTTCTTCCTCGGCCGGTGTGTTCGGACGTATTTCGGATTCTCCTCTGACGTCAACTTCTTCTAAAAAACAGGAAAAAGAAAACAAGCATGTTTATTATTATCACCACTCCTGCTTGTGTTTTGACGGACAGATTCACTGCACAGTGGAGGGAAAATATCGTGCTTTTTGAGTGTGCAACAGCCTGCCACTAACACGTTAGTCTTGTCTGATCTCTTCCATGAAATATGACACCATTTTTACAATTATGATCGACCTGTTTGAGTTCATCATCGCCTCTTCTTGGAAAAAAAGGTCGGCGAGGAACCTTCATCTTATTTTCATGAATAAAACTCTGAATCCGTCTTCTAGCAAGGTGGGCTAAATGACTCATCAACTAGGGGGGAAACAGACCCTTCGCCTTGACTTTACGAGATAAATAACCATCATACACATCTCTTACCTTCTGACTCCGCCCCTCTTTTGGTGGGCCACTTCTCAAAGTCTTCTACGACGACCACATCTGATAAACGGAGGAAACAGACATTCAGGTTATACTGTGATAACTGTGTCAGAGCATGAAGCGGGGACAGAAACATGTAACTGTCAGGACGGCAGCGTGAATCTGTCGCACGCTCGTCTTACCGGAGGAGTTGTCCGTGTGGCCGGAGTCCTCTGCGTGATGTTTGACAGGAATCTCCAGGACCGGTTTGGTCTGAGAACTCTCGCCCTCCTCCGATGAAGATTCTCCGTCACCTTTTTCTTTTTTCTTCCGGTCGTCATTACCCGTGTGACTGTATCGCCTTCTGCGGACGCGGGGTCGTCCTGCACTCCTGCCTGGTTCACGTGGCGCTCTATTGACGACGACCTTAAGACCGGCGCAAAACACACAAGTTATTCAAACTCACAACATATCTACAGAGGAAATGAAGGATCACAACAAATCCCACCTGTCGCTCCTTTCCTGCATGTCATTCCTCACTCTCTCTCTCTCCCTGATTTCCAGCTCTATTGTAATGGAAAAATTATGTTTACTGTCGATCTATCACCAAGAAACAAGCAATGTCTTTCCTTGGAATGTGCTCTTACTGTCGACAGTTCATTCCAAACTTCTCAGTTCTTGAACGTCCCTTACGAGAAGTCGCGCATGCTAACGGTTTGACTTCTTCAGGCACCCTTCAATGGACTGATAAGCGCAGTGACATCCTTTGAAACATTGGAAGAAGACCTACAGTCCACTCCCACACTGGGTGTTCCTAACCCCGCTAAACCTTTCGTTCAATGTGTGGACGAGAGGTTGTATGACGTCGGCCTTGCTACAGAAACATGACGCTCACCTTAAACCTGTGACTGTATTGACACTCTGAAGCTTTGTTCCTTCTATTTGCAAGAAGAATGAAACTAAACAAAGACACTGATTGACTCATGATCCTTTCTTTTTGCATTGTTAACAGGAATTTCCAGCACACTATCCACTGTCCTATCTCTCTAATAAAGGCACAAAATAAATCTTTAAAAAACTTGAATTAAAAAGCCGTGCTTTTATTTTGAAAAGGCGTCGTTGGAGAAGGACTTTAGTTACCGTAAAATCTGTGGTGTAAGATGCACTTTTAATACTGATTGCGACCAATACAAAACACCTGTGCAACCATTATACCAGTATAAAAAGTCAATTTAAGTCATTTGAGTTCCAGAGAAAGGGGGCAGTTTGGAGAAGGATCTGTCCCCCGTCTATGTAGGGGAAGAGGTTGGCGTTGGAGGGTACGGGAAGGAGTGTGACGGTGGAGGAGAGCAGGCTGAGGTTTCAAAAGATGAAAGAAAACTTCATTGCACAGACTAAAAACATGCTTTGAGTTTTGTCAGTACGCTTACCTTAGCAAACACGGCCTCCGGCTGTAGAGAGCCCGGCAGCGCCAGGAGGGTCAGACCAGTCTGCGCAGAATGGAGTGCGGTTGGATGTAGAGCAACATCTGTACAGACGACACAGGAAAATGTTGTAATGACATTAAAGCAGTTTTTCTGCAGTTCGACCAATTAAACAACAACTTCTTTGATATGATTCTGGTAAAAATCCAACGATATCAAGGCCCGTTTTTTAAGGCTTTTCATGCCTTTATTTTGAAAGATAGGACAGAAGATAGAGTCAGAAATAGGGAGAGAGGGAGAATGGGAACTGACATAGGTCAAAGGTCAGACCCAAACCCGGGCCATGCAATTGGAGGAATCCATACATGCAGCGCGCAGTGTACAAATACTGTGTACGTTCTTTTTCTTAATTACTCAAAACATAGACAAACTCCTGCACGATGAATTTGTGCAATGTAGGTCGTGCAAATAAAGATTTATTGATAGAGCGACAACTTTTGGCTAAAAATATGACAGACGGATAGATGTCTGAAGGTTTTGTTGAAGCTTCAGAACTTTGCGACTCTTTTCATCATTAAAAAACATACAACAGTGAATTGTTTTTAAACACACAGCATGATGGAAAAGGGGTTTATGGTCATGGTTAAATAAGTTGGAGTAGGTTGTGTTTTCAGTTTACCTTTCTCCAGCTTTGGTCTTTTCCTGGTCCACTCGTCCTCTTGTCCTCGACCATATCTATCACCCTGACGTAGTCCTTTATTAAGAGTTCATGCTCTTGAGATCCAGGCTCACACAAACCCAGATGAAGCCCAAGCTCTGACAACGCCTGCTCACGTAGTGAGGGGGAAACAGATTTTAAATACATAAAGATTTTGTGGATTTGTGTTGGTTCTGACATACTTATATGAAACACTATAAGTCAAAGATACAACAAACACTGAGCTACATGCGGCTGCACTGTAGTATAACAGAAAAACATCTTCTTACTTTGGGATCATCTGGGTGTTTCAGCATGATGCTGATGTTCCTCAGTGCCATGTCTCCAAGCTGCTTGGGAAGACTCTCCACTAAACTCTCCAGAGTGACTTTGTAGAAAGTTGCTGCATTTCTCAGGAACTCCTTCCTCTCTTGCTCCCCAAGATCCACGACCGCAGTGGCCCACAGGAACTCCCTGGCCTGAGGTCCTACGTCGAGCTTCGACGGGGGGAGCTGCTTCTTTTCATCATTGAGAAGTTGCAGGTCTCGACCCCTGAGGAAGTCCTGTCTCGCAGACGGCTCCAGGAGACTGGATGTGTAGGTGCTAACAATCATGGCGGCGAACTGGAGCTGAGTAGCCACATCCTCTTTGTCCTGTTGTCGCATGTTGTGCAGAGCTCGCAGGGGCTGCAAGGCACTTGAAATAAACAGAAAGTGCAGCTTGACTTTATGATCCATGAGTTGGTTTCGGATCCGGCGAGCATCCTCTGATTGCCCCGCTGATTTAAAATAATCCACTAAAGCCCTCCACTTCTCTACCATCCTCTTCACAGAGTTGATGATAAACATAAACTGTTCAGAGGTATTAAGGGACGGGTTATAAGCCCCTGCAAATATCAGTTTCAGAGTCTGATTTGAAGGGCAAGTGGAGTGGTGATGATGGATGACTTTAACCAGGTCAACCGCAGGACTAAAGGAAGCCAAAAGTGCAGCCTCGCAGGCTCTTTCGACCATCCCAGACAGGCCGCAGAGTGATAAAAACTTACTGTTGATGGTTTGGAGCTTGGACACAAACACCTGGCTCAGCTTTGGATTTGGAGTGTTACAATAAAACATAGTGAGGTAGTAAATAGGAAGGCCACTTTTCTCTAAGGAATCAAGCAGAAGGCGTGCGTCAGTGTTTCCAGTTTCTTTGCCTGTGACAGTTTCCGTCATCGCTGGAGGATCAACGCTCATTTCTCCAGTTTCTTTGCCCGGGACAGGCTCGGTGTCCGTGTTCGCTGGGGTGTCCACACTCATCTGTAGAGTGAACAGCGGCCTCACAACGCTGACCTCTAAGTTCTGGTCAAAGTAGCCAATCAGAACGACACTTGTGGTGTGTCCTTCGCCCAGCTCCACCCCCATGTACAGGTAAAGGCAGTATGGAGTATGACAGCAGGCCTGGATGATGTCTGAGGGGTGTGTTGCACTCAACATGGCACGGTGAGTTTTTGCTTTAATGTTGGAGTCCTCACAGTACCTCCGGATGAAACACAGCAAAGTATCTCTGCATGGAAAACTAGTCCCTTGATTTCCATCGACCACCGCTGCTGCTCCACTGTTTACGTCCTGCGGCTGTGCACAATCTCCATTCACAGTCGTCTCCATTTTCTCTGCTTCCAGCTCTGTCGTCACACCCAAGACGTCGTCCTCGTCTGATATCAACACAATCACATCGTCATTCTTGTTCAAACCCTCCTTCGATTTTTCTTTACTTTGGACTTCCGCTGTTTTGGCATCTTGAGATTTCTTCACATTCACCCCTGACGTCTGGAGAGGCGTCCTGGAGGCTTGACCTTTAAAAAAAAGAAAGTAAAAAAGACAATTAGCATGCTGAAATGTAAGACATGGAGCAGGTAATACACTGGCTTCAAACTCCTTTTAGATTTTGAGATATCGATCCATGTCACATAAATCAGGAATGTGAAACACAAACCCACCCATGTCACAAAAACAAGCCAAGAAGATGACGTACAAAAAAGGACAAAACTAATGTTTTAGTGTAACGGTCATCTTTTTGTTATTATTTTTCAGCACAATGAGCATGATCACATGCTGACTGTCCACACTGAATCCATTTCTTAGCTCTGTGAATTTTGTGGTTCCTCTTCAACCAGTATAACATCTAGTGCTTTTATCTTGAAGGTGGACACACACATATGTGTAGTGCTTTGTATTGAAAAGCTGTTGACTCATAACACAACAATCAGAGGATCGTCAATAAACGGCTCAATGTGAGATGGAAAAAGGTTTTTGTCTGGTGTTGTTGACACAAGTCAAAGTTCAACTTTTCAATCCCGGATGTGGATATTATTTATGCACTATTATCTTCACTTTATAAAACAAGCTAACGAGCTCTGCTGAGTGAGAAAGTCCCCCTCCTTCCTCGTCCGTCTAAGTGAGCCACAGAGCGGGAAATAGAAACGGGACGGGGTAGAAATGGTAGAAATAGTGCGCCGCGTCACACTGCTACGCTAGCGAGCAGTTAGAACACTCAAATAGAAAAGAATACAATCAGGCTGATTTTGTCGCTGACGCTCGCTTGTGTTGCATGCTGTTAGGACGGGCTGTCAGACCCTTATTGCCCTTTATTAACATTAAAAACAGAAGAAAATACTTGTTATAAAAATAAACCAAACAGCTAGGTAAGAAATCTATGTGTGTGTGTGTGTGTGTGTGTGTGTGTGTGTGTGTGTGTGTGTGTGTGTGTGTGTGTGTGTGTTCATGCACAGACTCACAGTGACCGCTCCCACCTGAGTCAGCAGGAAGCAATCTCAGTCCACCTCTGGCCTTTATGGGATCGTACTCTTGGTCTGTTCGGTTCTCTTCAAAGAACTGTTTAAACCAGTGCAGGAAGGCCAGACACACCAGAGAGTTCCTCTCCACCAGCGTCTTGATGGGGATGTACTGGAGGGAGGAAAGAAGGGGGCTTTAGACTCTCCCTGGTATTAAAGTAGATAACACGTTTTAAATATCTCTAATGTATTTATTTAGCACACAACAGTGTTTGCGATATCTATTCTGTAGTTTCTTGTTGTTCAGCCAACATGCAGTGATATCAATAATTCTACAACGCTTTAATATCTGGCAGGTTCATTGTTAAGGCTTTTACCTGTAATGAGATGATATTAAACACTTTTATACTTCTAAGCCGTTCCCCTCTTCTGTAACTCACTCTGCGCACTCCAACTTTTCTGAATGCATCCCGCAGAATACTGAAGTTGATAAGACAGTCTGCATTGTTGTAGCTTTGGAACCGGACCTTGGAGAGCTGCAGCGACTGGGGAAAGCACCAGACCATCAGCTGGCAAAATGCTGTGCCTGGAAATCACACAAATAAACGTTAAGAGGAACTGAGGACAGACAGGTCTGCTGTGCAAAGTATACAGTCCAGTTTGAACAATAAACAGTGTTTCCCACACATAGACGATACCTGGGCAGGCCGCCCAGGAATATTTTTTGCCGCTTAGTATAGTTCCCAACATTTTTTGGTTTATCAATTAAATCACCGAACACGAGAGAGAAAGAGGAAAAAGAGAGTGCTTAGTCCGCCATCTTGGATATGTTGAAAGAATTACACGGAGATGTCCACAGCACTTATTACTAAGTCCAGTCTTGCCTCCTGTGACCCCCCCCCCCCCCCCTCCTCCCATCTGACAGGAGATATAATGTCACGCTGTGAGGTGGTCATGTATGAATTAGCAACTCAGGAAGATTTCTGGGGCAGGTTGTCTAAAATTTTGAAGAAATTTGTGTTTTAGTAAACATCTTATGCTGTCTTTACTCTCTCGTCTCAATGGCAGCTGGTTGTCCAAGCAAATCAACCACATTTGAAACTGCATGGAGAACTATAATAGCAGAACATGTGATTTATTGTTAAAGTTTCTTCACAGTACATCAAAACGACACTTTGCATGCTGACTTACCTGTGCACACCTGCTCCACTTTGGTGAAGTCCGCCTTTAAAGTTGTATTGAGCCAGCTCAGCAGCTCACTACAGTTTGGTGCCCCCTGTGAACCGGCGGTGTCGTTCACTGCCACAGTGACGTCCATCTCCTGAAGGGATGGACCTGCACAGACACCACAAAAACACATCCACACATAGGAGTCACACAAAGAAACACACTAACCCAGTGATACAAGCATCGATACATTAGGACCAGAAATCACACTTCTGAATTCATCTCAATAATTTAAGATTATGTTTATTAAGATTATATGATGTAGATGTTGGAGGTATTAAGAACATAAAGGGGCGCTGGTGGTGCAGTGGTTAGTGCACACACCCCATGTATGGAGGCTGTAGTCCTCCAAGCGGGCAGCCCAGATTCGATTCCCACCTGTGGCTCCTTTCACGCAAAAATTAAAAAAGAACATAAAGACATGACAGAGGTATTTTTTTTAATTAGATTGTGCGTTCACAAAATGTGGCTGACACTTCATCCAGGGTTACTGCAGTCTTCAAAATGAAATGTATGACTTTTTAAGACCTTCCTAGACCCAAACAAAGACAATGTATTGCCATTTTTGCACCACTTGGCATCTGATCTTTTCTGATTACATGTGGGACATGATGGCTTTGACTCCCATTATCACAAAATACAAGAAATACAAGAAATGGATTTCCATTTAAAGGCTGCTCATAATGCAAATGACTTGTCATGTGAAGGAGCAATTCACAAATAGAATAAAAGATCATATAAGCCTGACTAGAGGTTGTGAATCAGATAAAGAAAACAGACATTTCTCAGTCAAGATGTAAGACTTTTTAAGGATCTGTAGTAGGGGTGCAGAAATGCAAAATTTTCTCTAATCGATTTTCTCGAAACAATTATGACCCATTGTTAAAGCCAGTACTCGAGTAATCGTTTTGTAGTTCTTTTTTTTCTGTGATTCTTTTCCCCCACAGGAGGCCCCGCCCCAACTATGACGCGATGACGACTGTATCTATTGATTAATTTGAATCTTCTGGATTTTAATAATTGTTAGTCATAGGCCTTTGTATTAAGATCCAAATTAGGACATTTCTTACTTCAACAGACAGCAAACTCAAATAAAACTTCACACAGACGTGTTATGATCGTTTTAACACTTCATTATAATCAGAGCAGTGAGTGTGGCGAGCGGACGTGCAGACATCAGTGTGCACTCATCGCACGTTGAAGCTGTTTTGACAGAAACATTGTGTTAACAAAGACTCCAGTCTGCAGTGTAGAGCACACTTTACTCTGGGAAACGAAGTTACAATAGAACAGGTGAACTGTTTCATCTTTCTCCTCTGTGCGTCATGACACACTCGCTCAATCTCACTCATCCGTCTGCTGTTTGAGCTGTTTCTCCCTGTAAGGTTGTTCTGTTTTGTAGTTATTAAAAGAATAACCATCGAAAATTCCAAAACATATGAAAACATCTAGTTATGCTGCTCTGTCCTGGATGATCAAACGTTGTTTGGTGGAGTAAAGCGGTAATCACTGAAGTGAAAGTCCTTCTTTTTCTGTGGACTAAAAAGACAATTTGAACTGAACTCTCGTAGATCATTTTGCATATTTGTTTGTTTGGGACTTTTTGTTCATTGTGAATTCATAGGGGTCAATTAAAGGGATATTTTTGTTAGGGTAGCAGCGTACGGATCAACAGCGGACACGTTTCAGCACAGAGCCTTTATCAGCGCTTTGTTTGTCATCTATTTTCTTTTTGCGCTCGTGCACCTGTTTTGAATTAAGCCTATCCTAGAACCCACAATGCAACAAGAAACATTTATAAAAATGTGGACTACAGAACGATTATCGTTTAAAAAAAATTTGTAACCGATTATTATTTAATGCACCCCTAATCAGTATGTGTGCTGCAGGCTGAAGTCATATGAGAGAGCTACTGCTGTCAGGAGAGTCAGGACATGTTGCTGCAAAATGTGTCCGACTCAGGTGATTTGGGAGATGAGGAAAAATTACAGCTATGACAACAAGTGCAAAGTAGATAAAGAGTAAGAAATGTTCCTTGAGTTAATCACTACACAAGGTACACACAGTGTCCACAGAGGATGAAGAGGATTGTCAAAGGCTGAAACCTTTATGTAAAGGGACAGTAAAGGAAGTTTAGACTATTCACAGGGAAGTGGAGCAATAAGGTAGGCAGGGACTCATTTAAAGAAAAAAAACTGTAATGGTTTAATTCATGGTTGGATAAAGGTTTCATGGTTTGCAGTGGGAAACTGTTTCAGTCCAGCAGAGGACGATGATGCACCTGCTATTGGTGCAAACCGCCATAAAAAAAAAAAAAAACACAGAAGAAGAAGTGGGAGAAAGGGAAACGAGTAAGAAGATTTGAGCGGGTAGCATCCCGACCAATCAGATCGATGGATGGATGGATGGGCCCGGAACTGACACGGGGTCAGATCATAAGATGATCTTCAGTGAACGTTAAAGACAATAAACAGATCTCAAATCAGTTATTAACTGTACGCTTTATAAAGCAGTGTAAAAAGAAGCCACGAGGTTTGAATGCTCTTCTTGAGGGGGAAAAACGTGGAGTCCAAACAATGAAATCATAAACAATGAGCCAAGAGCTTTACAAACAAACAAACAATGAAATCATAAACAATGAGCCAAGAGCTTTACAAACAAACAAACAATGAAATCATAAACAATGAGCCAAGAGCTTTACAAACAAACAATGAAATCATAAACAATGAGCCAAGAGCTTTACAAACAAACAATGTGCTGGATTTAACGGCTATAAAATAATTAACATATAAAAAAACTACTTGAAAATTAAAAGTAGTAATTTACTAAACCAGCCGTTTTGGTCCAGACATTGTCAGTTTATTCTACCACGCAAATCGCCGAGCCGGTGTTATGTCGAATAATGCTACCCTTCGAAAACTGCGGTCCGCACGTAAAGTTACACAAACAACAACACAACCTGTTTAAAATTATTCTCAAATACAATCAAAAGATAGCCAGATTATACGGACGCTTTGTTGTTCAACTAAATATGTAACTTTGGCAACTAAACTCAATCTACGAGTAAAGATCTACGCGTTGAGGCATTAGCTTCCCAGGGTAGCGAAACTTTACTTAACGCAGCGTAGGCTAGCTTGTTAGCACGAGTTCTTAGCGCTGTCATTTACGTTAGAACTGCGGATTTATAACGTTGTTCATGTGTAACGGAAACGTTCGCTATCACGTTATGTTTTCAGGTATTAATTTGACTCGGACTAAGCGTAAAAGTTTAGAAAACATGTTTGGGAAAACTCAAATAACTCACCCTCTCCGTGTTGTTGCTGTGGGGTCTTTAAACTGCCCGTGTCAGGCTACTCCCGCCTCCAACAACCAACTGACCAATCGCGAGCTGCCTCCAACAACCAACTGACCAATCCCGAGCCCCGTTCGGCTAGTTACCGCCCACCAGCCCGCTTCATATGGTAGTGACTGTAAATGTTACGTTTTTGTCTCAAGACATGAAATCAAATAATAATTCAGGACTATTTTGTTAAACAAATAAAACAAAAATAAAAATAAAACATTTATTGTTTGATTAAAAAAAATATATATATAGTGTGAATGTCATGGTTGAACAGTGTTAGCATGCTAAGCTAATCGGCTACAGTTAGCGGGTGAAGCTAACCTCATTTCTGTGTTTTTGGTTATTTATTTTTACTTAAACCAGACAGAGACACAGCAAAGAACTTTTCGTGCCATTATAAGAAAGTTAGACACATGATTATAGGCGATGCTGGTTGCAAATAAAAAATAGTTTTCTATCTGCTTCCCTGTTGACTCCATGTGACAACAGCTAGCATGACGTTTAGCTTAAATCTGAGACCTCAAATGTTAACAAATAATGTTATTAATCCTTAATTTAAAAGCTGCAGCTCAGCTGATATATTTTTTTAAAAATCTATTTTTAATATCTATCTATGTTTTTGTACATTTTTAATTTTTATTTTAATTTTTTAATTTAAATTGTGCTTGTTCACTTTGTGTTTGTAATCTTTGTGTTTGTAATCTTGTGTTTGTAATCTCTGTGTTTGTAATCTTTGTGTTTGTTCACTTTGTGTTTGTAATCTTTGTGTTTGTAATCTTTGTGTTTGTAATCTTTGTGTTTGTAATCTCTGTGTTTGTAATCTTGTGTTTGTAATCTTTGTGTTTGTAATCTTTGTGTTTGTAATCTTTGTGTTTGTAATCTCTGTGTTTGTAATCTCTGTGTTTGTAATCTTTGTGTTTGTAATCTCTGTGTTTGTAATCTTTGTGTTTGTAATCTTTGTGTTTGTAATCTCTGTGTTTGTAATCTTTGCTCTTTGCTGCTGTAACAACGTAAATGTCCTCGTTGTGGGATAAATAAAGGATAATCTTATCTTTTCTTATTTGACAGACTTGTTTATGTATTTTGGAAAATGAATGATTTTTGTTATCTTGGCTAAAATAAAACTGGTTCATTATTATTTTTTTTTTTAATATGACGTTTGTTTCCAAGTTAGAGTCTGAATCTTCCAGGATACATCGCCAGTTTTGGGTAGTCTATAATTTCACCATTTTACCCCTTTTTTAAGAGTTCATGAACCAACTTCTAAAATGTTATATAAAGAAGTCATTGGCCTCTTTTATTCATGTTTTGCGTATGCGTTTTAAAAAGGGAAAAGCTGAACAGTAGTTTTCACAAGCCTATTTGTAAACAGTAGGCTAATAAATCCAATCCTTGAATCAAAAATATATTGACAACCAGCTAAATTCCTGCTTTCATATTACCAATCCTGTGGTGCCCCTTCAGTATAATTTGCAAATATTTGACCAGTGACAAAGCACTGACTTTGCACTTCTGAAAATGGGGTCGGTCAATCAAACATACAATGGTTTGAATCATCAATAAAACCAGTTTAGGAGTCAAATAATAGTTATCAATATTTCACACCTTTATATATTTGTTACAGTTCACTTAGCAGGCGCTTTTATCCAAAGCGACGTACATCAGAGAGTAAGTACAACTCCATTCATACACCGCCACTGAAGCAGAGGGAGCAATGCAGGGTTAAGTGTCTTGCCCAAGGACACATCAGACATGTTGCTCAGCTGGGGATCGAACCCTTGACTCTTGATTTATTATGGCGCATAAAGTCATAAAACACATGTTAAGTGTGTGATCATACCTGTTTACCTATCTGAGCATTGTATGTCTGATAAGGTTATACAGTAACTTATGTTATTGGTGAGAAACAGGCAAGAGGCTATTTCAAGTTTTCTTCTTCCTGCTCCTGTCTGTTCGTGGACAGTGTATACGTATTTTGAGATAATAGGGTATGATGTATGTTGCACTGGTTTTTTAAACTCCTATTTTGGGCAGATTTTTGTTTTGAAATAGAGAAAAAAATTATTATCATTCATTTCAAATTAATGTCATATGTTCCTCTGTATTTTGAAGTCTTTAAGTACAAACAAAAACATATTAATTCTATTAAGCCCTCAGACAGTAATTTTGTGCTTTACAGAAATGGAGCCGCTTTAAGTAAGAACAACACAAACACAAGCTGTTCTTGAGAGTCCTAATCAGCATCTTAACCATCCTAAATATTGTCATTGTCATTATCAAATGGTGGTGGAGTCGGTCGTCTTAACTGGATGGTCGGGGGATCGATCCCCAGCTCCTGCAGCCACATGTCCAAGGTGTCCTCAGGCAAGACACTTAACCCTGAGTTGCTCCCACTGCTTCATCTGCAGTGTATGAATGGATGAGTTAATACTGATGGACTCTTTACTCAGCAGCCTCTACCATCAAAGGTCAGAAAGAAGGCTTTTTCTTTCCGTGCACCGACACTTTGGAACAGTTTACCTCTGGATATCAGGCAGGCTTGTTCTGTTGAGGTTTTTAAAGCAAAGTTAAAGACCCGTCTGTTTACTGTTGAGTATGAGTCATGATTTCTCTGTATGTTTTTTCCTGTATTTTAACTGTATTGCTTTGTACAGCACTTTGATTTAAAGTGCTTTATAAATAAATGTTATTATTATTATTATTATTATTATTATTATTATTATTATCAGGGTGTGAATGTGGAGGTGTGACCTGGGGTGTGAAAGAGCTTGGAGTAGTCAGAAGACTAGAAAAGAAACATACAAGCTCAAGGCCATTTACCATTAACATTTAAAAAATACCCTTTTTATAATGAAACATCAGACCTTTGTGAGCATGGCATGGTATTATATTAGGTAAAACCTTTAAACAGACTTAAAGGCAGGGTTGGTAATTCTCGAAAACTAGCATGATTTTGAAAGTAGCATTCCCTCAGTGCTCCGTCTGCACCTTCCCCTCTGTGCTCCCTCTTAAGCCACGCCCCCTCACTTACATGCACCAGAAGTGGACCTCAGCTCATCTCTGTCATTGTGTAGAAACTACGTCGCCTCATGTCTCATTCAGCGATAAGTAAACTTTCAGTATAAACTCCTAAAGTCATCGGTGACGAGCTTTGAGTGTGATAGAGAGCGAGCAGGGAGACAGGGAGGCGTCTGATTGGTTCATCAGATTGGTACCTCGTGGCAGACATTAGTTAAAGTTTTTACAGACTTACAAACTGATACAGATGATGGATTTTCTTTGTTCCTTTTTCAGAGAACATGAGTTATTAATTCTGTCATGACCTAAAGACAATTTACACCAAAATCTGAAAAAGTGGATCTGGAGGAAAATTACAAACCCTGACTTTAAATGTTATAATCTGAACATAATAAAAATAATCCTTACCTGTAAACATATCACCACTCAGAGACCTTCAAGAGTGTCAAACAAAACGAGGACAAACAGCTTTTATTCAGCGGCCAAACTGCGTTTTTTATTAGGTAAAAATTATATATAGGTTGCTATAAGAAGTATACAAACATAAAAAAATACACAAAATAAAGTATAAAAATAGCACAGAATCTGTTCTTTCAAGCGTGTTGGCACTGAAGATTCATCAAAAAAAAGGCAAAAGAAACAATTCTAAAATGTTACTCTCGTCGAACATAAGCACAAAAAATGTTTTAGTTTTAAAAAAAGTTCTCAGTTTTTATCACACACTCGAAATCTACAAATACACACACATCTACATAACACGAGGTTTCAAAACACTATGGATTAATATGCTCTAAATTGTGCTGTCACATTCTTAAGCGAGCTTTTTAACATGTTCTCAGTAAAAGGTTTAAAAGAGCCGTAACAAAGAGAGATACTAACTAGATCTATCGTGTGTGTTCTGTTTTCAAGCCAACATTCAGCAGTATTAGTGAAGTATGTAAACAATCACTTTTTGGTTTTATAAAGGGACTCTAACATCAGACTTAGGCTGGTTCTGTTGGGAGCCCGTGGAGCACCGCAGTCGGTCTTGTTAAGAAGACTCGCCCCTTTTTTCTGTTATCGGTCAAACAAAGAAAGTAGAAACACTTGTAAACCTTTCTATCAATACAGTACACAAAACATTGTTTAAAAAGAGTTCCAGTGATACAAAATAAAAGCTATATATATAAATATATACAGGGCACGTGGGAGCAGAGAGCTACAGTATATATTCACAGAACAGAGATCCTACAGGAGGAACGGTGCACAGTCGCCCCCCTCGTCTGAGGTAATGCCCTTAAAGTTTGATTTGGTGACAGCCGGCAGCAACTCAAAATCGCCCAGTTGTAAAAAAAAAAAAAAAAAAAAAAAAAAAGGAGAAAACTGCACAGACTTCAGGTGAGTGTTGCCCATTGGACACATCCAGGAAAGTGTTATTCAGATAAACCACCCAGTGAGTCGCTCTACTCTGCTGGTGAACATGTCAAAACTTCCGCACCAAGTATGTCCTGTAATCTCAGGCTAACAAATTACACTCTAGGAATGGTACTAATCTGTAGGGGAGTGGTACTTTTAGTGTTTTTTTGCAAGGTTTGAAGCTAAATGACAAATATGTATCATAACTTAAGGAGTGACTCCAGTAGATCGCTTCAGCCAGTCGTCTCAAAAGCAGCAGTAAACATGGCAATAAAACCGATCAGGGTATGCATACTTTGTTTTTTTTTCTTCTGAAAGGTTCAAATATTGTTATCCTTAGCGTCCGATACCATTACAGAGAAGATTGCTGCGGAGAAAGACCTGTTTTGTCTAACTACAAACAGCTGTTGAACAAAACAGTAATTTTACTTTGTGTGCTTTGCGAGGTAAAACAACAGATTTTGTGAATTATTTGAGGAAAGCAGGTGAAAAATGACATCTTGCTTTTAAACTGATGATCATGTCCCTGTAGAGATCATGTCTTTAACTTAATGGGGGGGGGGGGGGGGGTTTGCCCTGAGAGATGACATTGCAGACATTACTGGCTGTTTTTGCGGCTGCTGGCCTGAAGCAAACTGCTGGAGCGTTGCCAACACCTTCTCACTAACTTCTAACAATTAGAAACAGGAAGTGTTCTTATGATCATATAAGGGGGGGGGGGGGGGGGAGAAATCCACATTATTACAGAAGCTTTTAGTTTCACAGAAATCAGTTTGTCACACACTTCACATGCAGCTCTTTTTTGATTAAAATAGTGAATTATGACCTTAACATACAGCGTGTCCACCACACAGAACAAAGCATCACCAGGCATCATAGAGATGGTTTTCTTTTTAAGGCAGTTTCTCTGAATAAATCTTTTTAACATAGGAACAAAGTAGTCAGTGCTAGTTTACTAAAGTCTCGTGCATCCACCAGTGTTTGCCACCTTTTTCTGTCGTCTCTTGAACAGCTGTGAAACCACGTTTGAACACGTCTTCCTGATTTTTAAATGAACTTGAGCCAAACGTGCACACTGACATCCTGCCATACAGTGAGTCAGAGCACGATGATTTTCAAAATAAAACATCTCCAGTAGGATGAGCAACATCTTTAATCCTCCGCTGTTTTAAAATGTCAGCAAAGTCAAAACCTGATCGTCTTTATCTCTGTGTTTTTGCATCAGGTGGTTTCAAGTATTCGCACGTAGCTATCAGGGAAGTCACAGCCGTGTAACTGAGACGTTTTGACGCCGTCTACAAAAATATTTTTATATAATCTTTCATAAAAGTCTAAAGGAAGCTAGTTTGCTCATGGGAACTGAAAAAAGACTCATCTAAACTGCAGCATCAAACAGGTTTTTTGGTGAAGCAGGTGGAACAGCAGGTAGTCTTAAAAAGGGGGAGCAGGGATCGACCTTTCCATGTTTGGACTTTGGTTCAAGTGAATTTAAAAGAGTTTTTGTCTGGATTAAAAAACCGCCACATTAAAGTCGTCGGCTAAACTGAGAGATCAGCAAAAACTCTGAAATGTTTTTAGGATACAGAGCCACTAAAAAGTTCTACTTCTGGCACCAAGCGTTTTCTGCAACTAGTCAGTGTTGTCAACTTAAAAACACCTTCCAAAGGTTTTAAAAAAGATCCTATTAAAACGGCTGTACAGGCCGAGTGTTAAAAAAAAACAGAAAAGTGATGTCATCGTTCTTTTCAACGGACTGATCGTTGACCCGTCCCGCTCACTTTGACTCTCTGGGGCGGTGATCAGGTGCTCACCTCTGCCTTCTTTGTGTCCCTCTGTGTTTAAGGGGTTTTGTTCCAGTTTTAAGGCAGCAGTGCGTGATCACCAGGATCCACAAAAATTTCTCCCAGTCGCACTAATTCTCCTGAAACTTCCATTCTTCCAGCCAAAGAAGTCGTACAGCTCTTTTCCAGAAGTTTTTTTTCATGGCGGCTGTTGTTTGTTGGAGCCAGCCTCACAATAGCAAAGCTGGTGGGTGGATCATGAGTGGGGGTCTGTTTTGCTGGTGATGTGTTGGCGTCTATTCACAGGCAAAGTAGTCTTTCAGAGGGGCGAACAGATGCCTGATGACCGGGACGCTCCAGGACCGGCCCAGGAGCTTCTGCCTGGCGCCGCGACCCATGTTTGACACATCGGTGTAGTGGACAGGGAAGCCGAAAATCCTGCAAAAAAACATAAACGACAAACATTACAACCAAATGTTCTGTGAACTCATTATCCTCATTCAAAGAATTCTTCTGGTGTTTCTAAAACAGCGCGCTCTTTTTCAAATACTTTGGGGTCTAAATCACAGACGAGGTCCTGAAGAAATGGAGATAATTGAGGTTAATCCTGCTCCTGCACCCCTCGAGGCAGATGAGTTTGATATTCAAATGTTTGAACACATCAGAGGAAGGCTCCCTGCAGAGATAGACTTTTATGTTAAATAGTTTAGAGCCTTTTCCAACACCTTTTATTCCCCTCCACAAAGCCCCCAGACTCCATCCATAAAAACACATTTCTAACTGTGGGAGTTTCTGGTCTGCCGCTGCCGAGGTGAACTTCATGTGGGAACACAATCGCCCAAACTTTACTCTGAGTTTCTCCTGCCAGTTCACTCGTAAATGTCCGCCTGGAGTTGGGGCGAGCTGACGCGCCAAACAGCAGGAGATATTTCTTTTTTAAAACTGAGGGGCAAAATGTTCAAAATGGAGACAATATTTGACAGATCAATAGATAAGGTGCTCAGTGGTTTGCCCTGCTCATTCTGACAACTTTATGTTGTTTACCTCCCTTTCACTGTTTCATTTTTCATTTTATTTTATCATGTAAATTATGAGAAGCTATTTAAAGACCCCTTGTGAACTGCACTACTTAGGTTGTGACCTAAAATTGAACATGTCTAAATGTCTGGTAATTATTCTGATTATTATTTTGCTGTTTTTTTTTTTTTTTAAACTGAGGGGGGAATAACCCCAAGGATTTTGATGCAGCCAAATAAAGGAGCGATTTGGTGAAACTACAAATCAACTCCAGCTGTTCAAAGACTTAAAAACATGTTATTAAGAAGCGTAAGTCTGTAAAAACAAGGCCCAGGTTTAACAGCCTCATATGTTAATGTGTTAGTGGATGCACCTCTCCAGCTCCGTGCACCACAGGATGTCCTCCTTCCCGTTCATCAGGACGGGGAAGTGTTGATCCTTCCCTTGTTTGATGGAGTTGGAGCGGGTCGTGATGGTACGCACCTTCCCAAACTATGAAACAGACAAATGCACGGTCAAACAAGTGCAACCAAAAAAAAACTTGATGAACGCCAAAGACTCATCGTGGCTCTCTACCTTTGCGACTCTGCCGTGCTCGAGACAGTCCTGCAGCTCCAGCTTGTCCATCCCAGAGGCACAGAGAGGCCTGGAGGAGGGGATGGCATTAGTATGCTGTCATATGAAACACTCACACAGAGTACACAGATGAGCTTTAAAGATCCAAACTCAGACAGAAAAGAGGTGTTTTAATTCTTACCTGTTCATGCCCGGTAGATTTCCCCAGAAGTATCTGGCACGGTGAGCAGCTGAGACCTCGATGGCGTCGATCATCACCGGGTTACACTGCACATGACATCACACACAAGGGACAAAACATGACTAACTGTTTAAAGTATGCAGATGACTCAGGAAACCAAACGAGAACCGTTTGGTCAGGAGGTTTAGGCTCGCAGTATAACCATTGGTACACCTTTAAAGTCTTTAAATGTGATTTTTCACACTTAAATATAAATCAAGTCTCTCCTCTGAAAATAACTCTGTGAGTCATGACTGTCTACAATGGGTGTAACACCCGAGTCCCACTGTCTGTGATGTTTTCAGAGTTTTCAGAGTCCTATCTTCACTTTGTTTACATCGCCGGGACGGCCGGCTGACTCCTCCCCTCGTGTATAAAAGCTGTTTAATTGAGGGACTAGAGAAAAGAAGAATAACATACTGTACTCACTGCTTAACTGTGTTTCTAGATCACGCTCATTTCAGGTAAATTTACATGCAGTGTGAAGATACCAGCATAATAAAGATCGCTAGCATTAGCATGCTAACACAACAATGCAGCGCGAGTTGTTTTGGTTTCATGCTGCTCAAGGGCGACATCTGCTGGATCAAAAAATCTCATATAAAGCCTTTAAGCTCCTCCACGGCTGTAAACTGACCTCCAGGAATCGCGAGATGTCCCTCTTGTCGTTGACGCCCATGGCAACCACGTTCTCGAACATCCAGAAGAACGGCCGGTTCTCTCCTTCTTTGGGCCTTGCTTCGCTCAGCAGGCGGTAAAACTCAAAGAACAGCCTCCCTGTACCTTCTGGAGCAACAAACACTCAGATCAGAATCCAAAGAAAATATGATTTGAAAATAAATGTTCTTGACTCTGTGTGTGGATTCTGCATTTGTGGATCACTTTTGGACTTTTCTCTCGATGACGTCGTTCTTACGCACACTGCGATCCACATATAAATTCGAACGAGAATACGCCTTCCCCTGAACAACCAGTAGATGGCAGTGTTGTGCAGCCACCGCTGGTTATGGTTGTGGTTACTAACAGATCAAACGTCTGGATAAACTGGTGTTTTTAAATTATAATGATTAAACTCATGACTTTGATGTGGATTCATCAAAGTCAGATCAGCGTGTCTGACATGTTCTTCCTCTGTCAGGTACTTACCATAGAGACCTTTCCTCGCGGGATTGACGATCGACAGGTCGTTGCACGGACTTCCTCCGATCACCAGGTCAAAAGGACCCCACTCCAACAGCTGAGAGAGACAACAGCACCCCCCAGTGTTAGACTCAGGGAATGACAGGCACAGATCAACCTCTCAAACTGAGGAAGAATCATTAAAAGCTTTCTTTTCATTCTCACATGATTGACTTCTTTATCCATTAACCCAGCTTTAAATTAAATATGATTTATTCCTTCAACCAGCAGCAGGTATGAGACGACGTTTCACCTTTTCACACACAAACACCCCCGACACCAGAGTCTACGTCCAGAGAGACGGGGGGGGGAAGAATAAAGAAGAAGGTGGAGTTGGAATGATCCAAATCTCTTACATTGAAGTAATGTAACGTGAAGTCGAGATTCTGGAGCAGGAAACTAACGCAGCTTTCTCTGATGCTTATCTGATGATTCATGAACTTAAAAGTGTGTTTGATTTATCTCTCCCCCCCGACACCTGAGCCGCTTTCAAAGGCAACAAATCGCTCAGAACATATTCATGGTGAGATATTTGAGCAACTGCAAACACATCAAGTGACTTCACATGAACATGATCAGAGCTTTAATACACTCAGCCAGACCTGCAGCACTGCATGAGGAAGGGGGGTGGGGTCTATGAATGTCTCGTTTATAATCACATTTCTGGGCGCTTCAAACGGCCTTCTTGTGAATCATCAAGTTACCATTTTGACACTTCATATCACTTAAATCTTCTAACTTCTTTATTTAGTTTCATCCATCTTTTTTGAAGAGCGAGTTTGAACCAGCGACCGAGTGAGTCAGATTTTCTGTTCTTACATTTTTCTTTGTGATGTCCCGGACATCGTGGACGTACTGGATCTTTCCTTCATGTCTGACGACGCCCACCGAGATCGAGTCCTCGCACACTTCCGACGCCACGTACTGGTCCACCTTGAAACCCAGGTCTCTCAGAACCAGGTATCCTGTCAACACCAAAAATCAGAGGAGGGTTGTAGCAGTTTTTCCTGAAGCCCAAAAAGAACACCTTCAAAAGGTTTGTACCAGAAACCATCAAAACCTTCTTTAGATTCAAACGCTCGACTCATTTTAGAAGACTAAGAATAATTAATCATCGTTAACAGTTGTAGAGGAGTAACTCGTCTCGGAGCGTCGTCTCACCGGTGGCTATGCCGTCGAACAAGGAGAGGACTCTGATTGGTCGTCTCTGGTCTGCAGGGACTGCTGGGTACGTCTTTGGTGTCTCCTGAAAGAAAAAAAAAGATTACGATATGAAATGTTTCAACACCAGAATGTTTACAGCACTTTGAGTCTAATGCACATTTTTCCAAAGGGGAAAATAAATCTTATCTTACGATTGTAACATGTTTAATAATGATGGGTTTTTTTCAAAAATAAAAAAATTGATAATGGAGAAGTCCTCGTAGCTCTTCAATTTGAATTAAATTTTCCAAGTTGAGAACCACACACACACACACACACACACACACACACACACACACACACACACACCACACACACACACCTACACACACACACACACACACACACACACACACACACCTACACACACACCGATACATGTCGTCCTGTGACCTGCATTGTACTCAACATACGATACGCTTTATGGTCTCCTTCAGAAGACGTGTCTTGGACTCAGAGTGCTGCACAAACACAGCAGCCTCCACAGGAGAATTCACTGATGGGCTGTACGCTCAGATATGATTGGATGAAGCGTTTGTGCTCCGAGAATAAAAGTGCTGCTATGACAACAGTCTTTTAAAAATGGCCGCAGTAAATTTTATATTTTTTGAAGCTGAAATTTTTTCATGAATATTTTGACTGCATCTGATAAATAACATTTTCAGAGCGACTTACAAACTCCTGTCCGTTGTCGTTGGCAAAGAACTCCTGCAGCTTGAGGCTCCAGTCGTGCCGTTGTTTCAGCACGCCGTACTGCAGCTGCGGCTGGCACATGTAGCACCTCCACGGGTCCAGGTAGCGAGCGTTGTTGGACGCTCCGGGGTCAACCAGGATGTCCAGACAGTCCACGCAGAAACACCTGGAGGAGACACGAGACAAGGTGAACAACGGAAATACATCTTATATGATGTATGTGCCGATAGTGAGTGTGTAAGTGTGTGTGTGTGTGTGTGTGTGTGTGTGTGTGTGTGTGTGTGTGTGTGTGTGTGTGTGTGTGTGTGGTGTGTGTGTGTGTGTGTGTGTGTGTGTAAATATGTGTGTGTGTGTGTGTGTGTGTGTGTGTGTGTGTGGTGTGTATTGTGTGTGTGTGTGTGTGTGTGTGTGTGTATTTGTGTGTGTGTGTGTGTGTATGTATTTGTGTGTAAATATGTGTGTGTGTGTGTGTGTATGTATTTGTGTGTAAATATGTGTGTGTGTGTGTGTATGTATTTGTGTGTGTTTGTGTGTGTGTGTGTGTGTATTCGTGTGTAAATGTGTGTGTGTGTATTTGTGTGTAAAATGTGTGTGTGTGTGCATTGTGTGTAAATGTTTGTGTGTGTGTGTGTGTGTGTGTGTATATTGTGTGTAATGTGTGTGTGTGTGTGTATTTGTGTGTAAATGTGTGTGTGGTGTGTGTGTGTGTGGTGTGTGTGTGTGTGTATTTGTGTGTAATATGTGTGTGTGTATTTGTGTGTAAAATGTGTGTGTGTGTGTGTGTATTTGTGTGTAAATGTGTGTGTGTGTGTGTGTGTGTGTGTGTGTGTGTGTGTGTCTGACTGCAGCAGTTGGCGTTGCCACAGAGCAGAACCTCTCGCGCTCGCAGCAGACGGTGCAGTAGGACTGATAACCGTCGTCATCGTACATGTAGGACATCTCCAGGTAGACGTCCTGAACACACACACACACCCACACACACACACACACACACACACACACACACACACACACACACACACACA